AAAGAATAGGAATCCTAAGGGCCGAGGGAAGAACTTTAAAATGGTACTTGTGAGCTACGATAGTTAACAGGCTGCAAAAGTGCGTCGCATGCCTCCGTGTCAGGCTGTTGCTCATCATGGCGAGCGTGTGTATGTGCGTGCGCGTGCATGGTAACAAGTTGATCGCGGGAGGTTGGTTGATCGAAAAGTCGATCTTCAGTCCAAAAAGTTTGGGCACCCCTGTAAAGTCGGTACCGTATTTCGTCTACACTGTATTGCCCAATGTATGTAGCGGGGGCGCTTGTCCTCCAAGATATTTTCTCCTGCAGGAGACCAAATTTAAAGTAAAATTCAAATTGGAGTTATTTGAACACCTAATTGCCAATACTTTGGTTTAAATTAAATAACAACATTAAAATTCATAAAGTTTTCATCAGGGTTTGTTCAAGTTGCAAAAACATTTGCCAGACATTTGCAAAAAAGTTGGAAATAGTTGCAAGCACTTTTCTTTGTCACCATGAAATTTTTAACATGTTCACAACATAGGAACATTGTCACTAATTTCAAACATCATTGCGACATAATAGACAGAATTACTATTATTATCAATCGCTTTCTATTATGTAAAATGTCAATACGGGCTTGTATTGTACTTGACACACGAGCATGCCAAAGATAGAATCGCTTTGTCAACGCAGAGTGTTACCAGGTACACTTAGAACGTCAGCAGCAGGGGGAGGTGTTGAGGATTTGATGGATGAAGTGCTGCGTTGAAGGACAGGCAGAGGAAAGGAACATGTCTGTCACCACTCCTGCAGGACGCTGAGGTGGAGCTCATCTTTGAGCCTTTTCCCACCCCCTCGATCACTTTTATACGCACAAATCACTCACCATTGACTCCACACAGGAAGGAGAGGCCCTGGAATCGAAATATTGCATATCAGTCGATCACCGTGCTGCCCAAAAATATACATTTAAAGTGAAACAAGAAACATGCCAGTATTAATCATATCACGCTAGCAAGACGATTTTGACCTGTGTCTGTGGTCTTAGAATTTGATTATTATTCTGAGATATTTGCTGGTCATATAACTAAAAATTAAAGTGCTCCTAAAGTCAATTACAAATAATACCAATATCCAGAATATCGCTGTCCTGACCATTATGACCTATATTCTCAACTCAACTCAACTCAACTCAACTGTATTTATAGAGCACTTTCAAACAGCCATCGCTGCATACAAAGTGCTGTACACGGAGCAATTTAACATATACAACAACAGTAAAGCAAATCGGTAATAAAGACGGTAGAAAGCACCGAACAGCAAAACCAAGAACAAATCTAAGTCATGCTGAGTCAAATGCCAAAGAATACAAGTGAGTTTTGAGGGGGGTTTTGAAGATGGGCAGCGAGGAGGCTTGCCGAAGGTTCAGTGGGAGATCATTCCAGAGAGAGGGACCAGCAACAGAAAAGGCTCGATCCCCTCTGATATTGTGATACTATTATGATCATTGACAAATGTTGTTTCACTGGAAATTTGAATTTACTTCTGACCACTTGTGTGGTGGTCAGAGAATTCGGAAAATGACTGCAGCAATGACTGCAGCAAAAGTAAAGAGACACCAATAACATTGAGAATTTTGACCTGTATCGTGATATTGCTGGTATAATTAGAAGAATATTGTGAGAATATCCTGTTGTGAATCATAACCGCTAGTTTGGTGGTCATACAAATTGGAAATTATGCTCCAAAAGGGGAACAAGAAAGGCACCGACATCATTGGTATCAATGACCTAATGATTCTGACCTGTATTGTGATACTCAGTGTAAAAGTATGTCAAAATGGACTTTGATGATGAAAGACTAGTTGGCAAATATTATTTTGTATTTTTTCAAATCAATGGAAAAAGCCTAGCTTCGCTTGCACGTGCATGTTCTCTCATAACCTTGCATGAACTTGAGCCCCCCCATCCCACCACCTATACATACTTTGTGTAGTTTACACTCATGGGTGAACATAATGAGATCCCCAACCCTGGAGACAAAGGCTTAATATGATGGATAGCGAACGCTCCACTGTAAAGACTTAAGACTTTTTTGGGGGGAGGCGACCTTGATGCGTACCGTGTAGGCTGCAGTGGTGCTGCGCTCGCCGCAGTGTGACAGAAGGGGCGGGCGACGTGCAGCACCGCGGCACAAAAGCGCTGTGGTTCGAAATGGGTAACATTAGAGTCTCGCCTTTTGCTGCCAAATTAGCCGTCCAACTGGCAAAGCCTCAACGAGAAACTTTTGGAGGGATGGTTTTAAGGTCAAGACGTTGCTGAGATGAAATGTTTTTTTCACCACTGTAACAATGTTGATTCAATCTGTTCTTAACTGAGCCACTAAGAACTACAATGTGCTCACGTCATTGTCAGTTCAAAATTAAGACATATCGTTCAGATGAATTCCGGTTTGTTGGGACTTGGACATCACCACCTTGTCCACGACAGTTTTGGTTACTGATTGTACAATTTTGATGACTTTTTTTGTCCTTAGCATTAAAAAAATAACAACAAAACCCTCGACCGAATGAAATAATGAGTGATATTTAAATTTTGGAAAACTCACCACTTGTTATCCAAAATACCAACAACCAAATGCCCAAAAGTACAAAACACACTCATCGGAAATTGCTATCCCCAATCAATGACATGGGTACACCCAAAGAAACACCAATTTCAACCTATCTGACCATCTACCCGATTCAGCTCAGGTCAGTAAACAATTAAAGCACTCCCCACGAGTGGTTGGAGGTTTCATAAGCAAAATATGCAACTAACATAGGGCTCCTACAGAGGTGAAATCGAGGATCAGTTCCAGTTTTGATGTGTAGGGTGGAAGTCTATTGACGCACTCAGCACCTTTTTCTTGATTCATTGATGCAAAACTGGGCCAACATTCCAGAAAATGAGGTTCATATACAGTATATATAAATAAAACTAAGCGGAGGCTCAGAGGGGACCGAGCCTTTTCCGTTGCTGGTCCCACTCTTAGAAATGAGCTCCCACTGAACATTTGGCAGCCTCCCTTGCTACCCATCTTTAAAACTCGTCACAAAACTCATTTGTATTCTTTGGCTTTTGACTCATCATGACTCACACTTGATTTTTAGTTTTACTGTTTTTGTGCTTTCTACTGTCTTTACTGTACCACTGTAACAATGTTGATTCAATCTGTTCTTAACTGAGCCACTAAGAACTACAATGTGCTCACGTCATTGTCAGTTCAAAATTAAGACATATCGTTCAGATGAATTCCGGTTTGTTGGGACTTGGACATCACCACCTTGTCCTCGACAGTTTTGGTTACTGATTGTACAATTTTGATGACTTTTTTTGTACTTAGCATTAAAAAAATAACAACAAAACCCTCGACCGAATGAAATAATGAGTGATATTTAAATTTTGGAAAACTCACCACTTGTTATCCAAAATACCAACAACCAAATGCCCAAAAGTACAAAACACACTCATCGGAAATTGCTATCCCCAATCAATGACATGGGTACACCCAAAGAAACACCAATTTCAACCTATCTGACCATCTACCCGATTCAGCTCAGGTCAGTAAACAATTAAAGCACTCCCCACGAGTGGTTGGAGGTTTCATAAGCAAAATATGCAACTAACATAGGGCTCCTACAGAGGTGAAATCGAGGATCAGTTCCAGTTTTGATGTGTAGGGTGGAAGTCTATTGACGCACTCAGCACCTTTTTCTTGATTAATTGATGCAAAACTGGGACAATGTTCCAGAAAATGAGGTTCATATACAGTATATATAAATAAAAACTCATTTCTATTCTTTGGCTTTTGACTCATCATGACTCACACTTGATTTTTAGTTTCATTGTTTTTGTGCTTTCTACTGTCTTTATTGTTATTAATGTATTGTTTATTGGTGTATAAATGATATTTGCTCCACATACAGCACTTTGTGTAGCGCCTCACACTTGATTTTTAGTTTTACTGTTTTTGTGCTTTCTACTGTCTTTACTGTTATTAATGTATTGTTTATTGTTGTATAAATGATATTTGCTCCATGTACAGCACTTTGTGTAGAGTGGTGGATGTTTTAAAGTGCTCTATAAATATAGTTGAGTTGAGTACGTTTGTTTTTTGGACAAACTTTTTTTAACCCTGAAAGAGTTAATTTAGATTTGTTCAAATAAGAAATTGAAAAATCTTATTTTCCACATTAGTTGAGTTGAGTACATTTGTTTTTTGGACAAACTTTTTTTAACTATTTCATGCACCAATAAATATAATAATGACCTGTTACTTGATAACCCGATCAGCTGTCCACTGTAGTGACCGCTGTCCCTGAAAGGGTTAATTTAGATTTGATCAAATTAGAAAATTGAAAAATCTTATTTTCCACATTATTCCAAATGTATGTGATTTTTTTGTATGTGGGGAAGGTTGATTGTTTTTACTCTGACATTTGACCTCTGCAAGAGGTTCAACAAGTCACCTTGGAGTCTAATAATGAGGGTCAGTTGTTCATTGGTAGACTCCTATTTGCTCCAAATCTATACCTCAAACATTCGCCAAGGTCATTGACGGGTTTGTTTCCCCCTAAATAGAAGTGGCACATGTTTACCGCACTCAAATGAGGGTGATTCTCAATCATGTGGAGAAAAAAAAAAAACTAGTCCTTTATGGTGCTTTTCCCTAGCGTGAGACGGTTGGACAGATGTGATGCAGGTGCTCTGTCAGGTGTTGTCCTGTATTGGTTAGGGAGTCCACAATGCAGTCAAATCCCCAAGGTGACACCTTATTGGGCAATCCTAACGTGTGCACACGCTTACGCTGCGGGAAGGACAAAAAGAAAACAGGGGGAGGAGGTGTGAGCCTTCCTTCACGCCACGTCAGGCACTAAATCTCCTATCACGGAGCTGACGGGAGGAGGGGGGGTGAGAAGCCAGGTGACCCCCCTCCCATTCTATCCAGCCCTCGTCTCACCATCCCTCTCTGCATTTAAACGCCTGCACGAGGGTGTATGTGTGCATTGTTTTGTATTTGTGCGCATGTAGCAGCTCTCATTTCCTATCGGGTGTTCAATTACCCAATGGAAGCTTTGAAAGAAACTCTCTTGAGTCGGAGTGCAGCTGAGGTAACAGGGTAGAAGAAGAGGAAGAAGTGGAGGGCACTCCTGCGGAGTCGGGAGGTGAGTGAGTAATCCTTTAGGATTGTTTTGATTTGTTTGTATGTTGCTGAAGGTGATGGTGTCATTGTTCAATGTCAGCTCACTAGATGATGCAAAG